GACCACGCACCGACTCTCGAAGTGTACAACACACCATGCTTTGGTGTGGTGTTACGATAGGGTTGGTGAAAAGCAAAGCATGCTCTGCTCAACTGCTGCCATCCAGACTGTCAACGCCAGCATCTGTCTCAAGGGCAATGAGGAGAGAGCAGAGATGACGCATGACAACGCGTTGTAGGGAAAATAGATTGATGCAAACTGTGCGTCGCATCGCGCCTCAATGTTGACCATTTTCATGGTCAGAGTTGTGGTTAATTTGCGCGAGCCATGCGTCAGAGTTATTCAACGGTAAATGTTATTCGCTAACAGCTATTTCTTTAGTTCATCGGACGATCGGTAGTGCGCTCTTGAAACTGTTGCTTAATGGGCATTTGACCTTCGCAAAAGCGGATTATTTTAGGTCATGATAGGTTTTGGGTCTTCATTGCCTTTATCTTTTTTGGGTTTGATAATTTAACAGGTCTTCCACGACAAAGTCTGGCTGCCCTTAAGTCTACCTCATTTCTTGAGCAAGTAGTGGACGAAGAAACTGAGATGAGTGACAGTGTGGTTAAATGGAATGCCATAGCAACTAGTACCACTAATGTAGCTTTGTAGGAACCAAAGTCGGAAAAACTTTGCTACAATGAAGACAAGCTAATTGTATCTTTTGCTGATTTTTGCCGCAGTGTAGTTTACCTCTTCGTGTTTGAATGCTCCATAAGATGTTGGTGGGAGAGTTAGGGCGCTGCATACTGACTTTGCAGCATTGCTAGCTTTCCTCAAATCGAATATGATAATTTCTATTTCATTTTTCCGTTTCCCTTCTCACCACGCATTTTATTACTCAACCTCCCCTTCGCATTTCAATCCAGTATTTCTGACAAATTGGAATCTTTATGAAAGATCGTTCTGCGACTGGGAATAACATATACTTCGTATTGTAGAATGCAGTCTCGCTTGTTCTTCCACTTATTCACCACTACTTTCAAGGTTTGCTATTGCTCTTTACGTTGGCTTTTGCACTCCCTTTGCTATTGTGCTGATAATTGTGCACATACTTTTGCTCATCTTCTGAAAATGGTGCATATTTTCCTTTGGCACACATCCTGCTACATTTCCTTCAACTTCTTCTCAGAAGTGCATTTGAATTTTGACAAAGCCATTGAACAAGCTCCCTTGTCGAGTACACTGCGCTTTTCGCATATTCTGTTTTTTCTACTCAAATGAAAATAAGTAGACAATTTATATCAACTTTGGTTTACGTTTTTACAAAAGTTTCATTTTCTCATGGTCGTAGTATTGCAATGCTTGTGAAAGGCGTTTGTTTGTGTACGAGTGATAGGATACTTCAAAAATTTGTCATCCTTAACAATTGTCCTTTCTTTGTTGTGAGGAGAAGATAAACGTGTGGATATTTTGACGCATTGTGCACAAGTTAGTGCACAATGCGAAATACGTTAACTTTATATTTGCCTTTATTAAGAGGGTATCTGTCTTGTGTACACTACAGTACTCACAAACTATACCTGTTCTATAGATGGAAATTCTGGATCTGACACAAATGCTAGTCCGTTCAGAGAATGGAACATTGGGATTCGTCTTTTGATAGTTTGATCAAATAAAAGTAAACATGCATGCTGCAGTGATTCACAACTTTGGTTCTTTTGTGTCCCGAAATTTGTTGGCCAATTTAACCCAACAGACCCGCATCGTCAATCTGAGGCCCATTTCTTGCATCTGGCGCCTGTGATTGTTTAAGAGGTGGATGGCTTCAAATTTTACCCGGTTCGTTGTACACATCTCAGTCGACAAAGCAAAAGGAAAAGGGTGTTCATTGTGATCTACGAGTAAGCTTTCCCCATTTAGTTTGGTTGGAGGTCGTATGTGGAAAGGCTAAGGCAGTTAAATGCGTAGTAGTTTTCGTTGATTCGTTGTTAGTAATGTCTTGAGTGTGCTCTTGATATCATTTGGTTTTTGTGAGGGATGGCGCTGCGAAGTGGAGTGGTGAGGAAAGGCGATTAGTACCCAGAATGAAAATCTGGGTTTTACTAATGCCAAAGAATAACTTTATAACAGGAAACTAATAGTAAACAATTGGCTCGACATTCTCTCGGAGCTTTTGGACAAATCTAAGACATGCACAATCTGACGACTACACCATGGAATTTAGTTAACTGCTCTGCCTACTTCTGTGCTCGTGAAGTTCGTCTAATCGAAGTTGCCGAGGTTGAACGATGCTTGCAACAATGGCTCAAAAACTAGACTCATTGGCTTCACTCTGTGAAATTTTGTGCCACGAAAAGCTGTGACGGGCCTGAAACCACGACGAAAAGGAGAGGCAACAAGATTTAATGCATCATCAGTAAAACAATCAAGTTTTTGTACTCCCAAATTTAGTGCAGCAACGTAGTACTTTTTATTAAAACCGCTGGTCTGTTACGCACTACAAATTCCTCTTGGCGATTTTATAGTTTGAGTATCTCAAGGGAAAGGGTCGAATTTGCCTTTAATGCCTGCTACTATCCACTGGATGTCTTCATTTCGGCTCTTCTCTGCGGCAACAGTGCCTCCTGATGTTCCTCCTCATCGCATATCAGGCAATTCTCCGTGCCGTAATTAATTCCAATTCCTGTTCCATCAGATTCTCCCACACGACCCCTAGTTGGCTTTATCTTTGCTAGTGCAACCAACACCTCATGAAGTAACGAAAGTCTTACATCTCCCACTTTCGATCAGCAAGCTTGTTTCTACTCTCAAAGAGCAAAATGGAAGTGCGAAACCTATAGACAACTGCAGTGGATGCGAGTGGGATGGTAATTTGGGCTGCCGGATGCAGAAAACTTGGTCACGGTGGCTTTGTAATACCCTTCAAGGGGAAAGAGAACAAGAGGCATCTTATTCCTCACACGTCTCGATTGCTTTGCTTGCAACTAACAAATGCTGACGAGGAATCCGCTTGATTTCTCGCTCATAACAATCCCTGCCTGCATTTTTAAAAGCAACGCTCTTTGCTTCAGCAAGATATTCGCTCTTCGAAGCACAGCTGTTCATAGGGCGTCTCAAAAAAATCAAAAGTGCCATTTACTTGGTCCAATCACACTAAGTTAGGAATTTGGCTCTCTTTGACGCAGAAGTGGGTGCCGGAGGCGACGCAACAATGGATGGGTCTTACTAAACACGAGCCTTCTTTAAATGCATCCCTTATTTGCAGAGGGGGATTTTAGCCACTTATTAGCTGACGGTATCACCACCGCTGGCGCTTTTGTCATCATTGCTAATGTCGTTGTTCTCTCCTTCTGCAGTGTTGGCGTCTACTTCATCCTCCGGTATGACTGCAACAAAGTGGCATTCCTGAAATTGAAAATAAAGTCCGTTTGAGAAAGTACAGCACGAAATATGAGTCATTAGTCCAATCTTGTTTGCCCTTCCTAACGCCTGATTCCCCAGCGGAGGGTATGATGACGATAGTGAAGCCATGGTTCATAAATCCTTTCAGTGTTGTCCGTCCGTGCCATCACGCATGCGCCAAGGGCGCCTCAATAAGCAGTGGTGGCCACCGTTTGGACGTCCAACTCAATACGGCTCACCTCCAACTGGTGCTGTGGGAAAATTTCGAAGCTCTAACGTTTGTCTCACTACACGGTAGTGAAGTTTGAATCAGCGCATAGTAAAAAATCCCACCAATTTCAAATACCTCTTGCTAAGCAGAAGATGCGAAAACGCGTTGCGGTTTTTTACAGGCTATCCGATCCTCTGAGTCACGATGGTTTGGGAAAATGGCGCCAATGCAATCGCGTATGCACTTCCATTGTAGCAATATTTTTTTGCAAATGGTTAAACCTGCAAGCACTGACAGCAGAGCGCTTCAAGGAATTCAGATCCCCTATTATCGAGTATCCAAAGAACAGCGGTGGACATCAGTCCATCCATGCCACACTACACCGGATCACTTTATGGTTAAACACTCTGAAATTCTATTTTTGATCCTCATTCGGCTGCTTTGGGAGCCATCAAAAAGATATCTACGGGACTCACTGTCCATTCACAAGGAAAACAGATAATTATGGAAACTCAATGAAATATTCATAAGCGAACTCACTGAGCGCTTGATAGGAGGCATTTCGCTCTGCTCTTGCTCTGGGATAGACCAGAAGGTAGAGCAGCTAAGACGACGCGTGAGATCGCACATGGAGCTGGGGTCAGGTGGAACTATAAGCGAGTGTGGACGCCGCCTACCACTGCAGTTGATGCCGCCACCAACACCACCACTACCACCACTGAAGAACACTGAGTTCTGCGTGGTGTACCAAGGAGGGGAAAGATGAGAGTGGAAGTGGCTAGGAGGTAGAAGGGAGCATTTTGCATCACTTGATGGCAACGGTGGCAATAAGATATTGCGCTGCAGGAGGGATTGCAGAAGGTTCGGCATTCCCGACAAAACCACGCTGATTACGCCGCATGCTATTGTCAGCACGTATGCCCAACCAACCTCGCAACGACCTGAATGCAACACACATCACCCGCTAATAACAGTAAATGGCACCGCAATATCTACTAAATGTCATATTTCCTCCTTCTTAACGAATAGACTGAGTGTGTATTTCTCTCCATGCTCAGGTACTTGTACTACTTATTGGCCATTAGTAGACTGCTCTCGACTGCCCACGCCAATTGCAGCTGCCACAATTGACCAACAGGTCTTTTTAACAACAGAGAAAAAACACCAATAGCTTACCTAATCTGTAACTTCCGCTTCCATGACCGCAAATTTGTATAATCTCTGAGTTGTTCGACCATCCAAATGGGTAGACTATGCAGACGATAAGACAAAGTGCACCTGAAAGTAGAGAAGGAAGAGGGCACAAATTCGCCACTTCTTAAGTTCTCAAAGCGAGATTTGGTTAGCTGAAGTTGTGCCTGAAGCTCGGAGTCAGTGAACAGTTGGTTTGTGCACACACATTCCTACATTTTGTCATGAGTCTCCCATCTATAAGGTTTTCTTTCAAAGTACGGAGCAGAAGCTTTCGCTTCGTAGGCCAAAATCAGTGAACTAGAGTTAGTTTGCTCTTGATCTACTCAGATAGAAGTGAAGCCAAAAGTAAATATCCATAATGGCTTCAGTTAAAAGGAAAGGCAGGAGATGTGAAAAATGCAAACTTCACAGTAAGCACTTGGACGCATAACTCGTTGGAAATTCATGATCGACTAATTTGATTTCACTGCAGATCATTTTGCCGTTGGTTTTGGACAAAAGTGAAGGAACGTTCGGCCATTGTTTCAGGCGCCGGTTTTCAGTATCAACACAAACTCATTTGCTAGCATGCATTAGAAAGCTCACCACCTGCGCCTGGAGTTAAAGGAATGCTTTTATCCACTGAAATGAATGCACTTCTACAGAATAAATGTAATTGGACAAAATTTCTAAGCCGGCATTTAATTTGTGGGTGAAAATTAAGCCGGTAATTGAAAACTCGAATGCGCCTTGCGTTGCGCCACGAAATAAAGTCATAAATATGGTGGCCTGACAGCCGGCCATTAAAAAAATTGGCTTACCATAAAAGTAGGCGTAACAATTATCGGCACATTTCGTCGAGCGGGCCGCCAACTGCTTAGGCCATAAGCAGATTGCAGTCGCAGTCTGCATTAGTTAGGACATTCAACAAGACTCCCATCAATTCTCGTCAGTCTGACGTGGTGGTGCCATGGCTACATTGGTGACATTGCAGATTGGGGAGGGTGGTGACGCTTATGATGCTACAATGCGCTCCCTTCCAAGGGGACTGTGCACTGAGACAAACAGCCGACCACTACAGAGTAGCCGTTGGCAGGAAAGGAGTGAGAGAACGAAGCAAAGACCACTTCATCAGTCGAAAGTGAGGGCTATCTTTTTCACCAAGACGAGGAAACCTCTGTCATCATTCACTTAAGCAGCAGCCATTGGTGGGAGGAGGTTGAAAGCCAAAATCCATCTTCCAAGCCAGTGGTGAAAGATCTTCAGACTCTTCGGCTGCCTAAACTGCGTACATGGCACGTAAATGGTGCAACCAAATGTCACTTCTAAGGCGATTCGCACATGTGTTGGTTGACAGTGGAGGCGCACGTCAGACTTATCCATGTGGAATAAATTGCCCTTTGCGATGCCAGTCCTGCTTTGGACCAGCATAGAAAAGCGATGCAACCTATCAGTTGACCATTTGGTGACTTATGAGAGAGCTCTCTTGAATTGCCAAATGAATGGACCTAAGACTTATCCACCTAGATACTAAACTCCTTTTGGCCTTTACGAGTTCTCCTTTCAGTGCTTTAGTGGAAGCGAATGGCAGCGCAGCCTCACCTGCAAGAACCATGAATTAAAGGGATCCACTACATTATTCGTCGCTTTGGACCGAGTTCCCGAGACGCCAAATTACAGCCAAAATACTCAGCACTTTGGCACTGCGAGAGCATTTGCAAGAGGAAAAATCTTAACTGCATAGGTGCCACAAGTCAGATCATCATTATTATTGTCAGCATAAGGGGAGGGAAATGAGGAACGTGTCTACCTGCACTTAATGTCTGTTCCTAAACCCACAAAATGATGAGCATTTGGCAGTCTTCCAACGTTCAAGAAAGGAGAGGAAAAACTACTCTCGTCTCTGCTGGCATCCTCCTCAGGGATGACTCATGCAAAAGTGACGCTTGTGGTTCTAAGGCGGGGCTTATGACAGACGACAGCTTGCAGGTTGTAAGTTAGAAGGGAAGCAAAAAAGTTTCCTCCTTTGTGTGCAGTGTTATGCAGTTCACGAAGAGCAATGCACACCTCACCCCATCTCATCTCCACTTGTCCACTTCCTACAGATACTTCGTGACATGTTGCCATGGTTACCGTTAGGATGATTTTACAGGAATTATAAGCACGACAACAAAATTGATAAGAATTTCGCGTACCCTAATTGTGGCATCTCTTAATAGCCCTCACTTGGTTTCGAAATCATGACTCGTCAGAACATCCAATCACCGATTCAGCGGCTGTTCATGCACTTCCTCATTGCAACGAAAATGACGATTAGCTGAGTCTAAATCGCACGTGTCGAAGGAGAGAACTTAAAATCGCGCAGATTCAAACGTTTTGGAGCCATTCTTTCATTGAAGGAGTGTGATGGTAAGGACAAACGACTTCAACACATCATCTTTGTAAATTCTGTTACCATTAAAAGATTGCTTAAAAATCATTGAACTGAAGTTTTTGTTAAATAACAAAAGGAAGGTACCGCAGTATCTGGCATTGTTTAACAAAACTCAGTGTGTAAAAATGTCGCATACTAGTAATATTGACGCTAATGAAAACCAAAAAATAACCAATATCTTTGGAAATCTTGGTGGGTATACAAAGTCATTTGATACTACTTAAGTTTTTTCAGCGACCGAAAGTACGAAAGTATGCTTTAATGAGAGCAGACTGTAGTGTGTTAAAGGACTTGGATCCTTTCCCTTTTCACACCTCTGATAGTCTTCTTGTTTCACATTGTCTACTTCGCATCAGCCAAATCCTCAGCGGACAAAGATGAGTAGATCTTATCTGACGGGTTGAGGTTGGAATGGTGACGAAAAAACTGCCCACTTTACACCTCGTGTCCTTTCCTACCTACCTAACACAACCTTAGTTGTGATCCTGGCTTATTCCTACTACCACCAACTTGAGGAGAAGGAAGGAATGCTCACTGTTCATCTTTTAAAGTGTTCAGAACATGAACTGACTGATGCTGCCACTTCTCCTTTACTTGGTGTCAGCACGCACTTTCACTTGCAAGCATTAACCTGCCTGGTCACAGTTTTGGTTGCAACAACTTTTCTTTCGTGGTCACCACTCCACAGTATTCCTCCAGTGCCATTTCAAATGCCGCCAAACATGCCGGTGAAAGGGTGACCGCCAAGGAGAAAACAATTGCTTGTGACCATTATTAAATTACAGGCATTTTACCGCCTCCGCAAACCACCCAGCCATCTGCCGACAAAGGCATTAGATTTTGCCAAATTCCTTCCTCCTCCTAACTACTGCAGTCTTCTCGCTTCTATTCATTCTTTATTCCACAAAAGAGGAAAAATTCATCTCGACAGACGACCTAATTGCTCTGTGGAAAGAATTGCGAGCTGTGTACTTTGGCTATCAGTTTAGCAATGGTTTTGTGGCGGAAAGTAAATTGCATTTGAATTTTGTCCAAAAGCACCCACAAAGTCCCTTCTTCATGAATGTCTAGCATATTTCATTTTTGTTTTCCAATCACCCAGAGGTCATAAATAAGAGTTAGCGAAATAATCGAGGACGAGGACAAAGCTGCCTTTGACACTTCGAAGCACATTTAGCAGCTTTGGCGTCGCCTGAGTCAATTTTCAGCAAATCTTTCCGTCCCTAAGCAAGTGTCGCTTTTGAAGGCAAAAGGTCTAAAATTATGGTGCTGCTTCCCCTTACACACTCCGTCTGCTATCGCATAGCCTTAACTAATGCAAAATCAAAGAGATTTCCAACTTATGGACATTGAGAAGCGCTTATTTTTTCTCATTGATGGCATTGATGGCCATTTCTAGCACCTCTAGAACAACTGACTTTTAAATGAAAATTAGGGCCAGCACCTTACCATAATTAGGTGGTCTAGCGTCCGCCCCTGCCATTATTTATGGCAAATGACCTCGTCATTAACGCAGCTCTAAGGAGACAAACCGGAGCAGCTGTTAACGTTCCGCATTGAAGTGGGCGGATGTGGTGACTCACCAATCCCCTCGTCCCGATATCATGTAGCACAATCTCACCTGCAACGAGGTGGACGTAGGAGCAGACGCGCGACAGCTTCAAGTTCTTCCGCAGTAGAGACGTGCAGGCTCCTGCACAGATCACAAAGAAAGCCAGGAAGACGAGAAGACAGGCGGCTATAATGAGAAGCACCAAAGCCATGCGCCAAACCCAATGAGGCACGCTTTCCAACTCTGGGTAGTAACCACATCCCTGTATCCACTCCACATCTCCATTCGACTGGTACGTTGGGTAGCCGCATCGACGGAAGAGGCCCAAATGACTCACACTGGTGATAACTCTGCCTCCTATTGCGGGCAACTCAACACTCCCGGCTACCCAAAAAGGCAGTAGGCAACAGGTGGAGCACACACCTGCCACAAGCACGGTGAGAAGCGACCAAATGAGAAGGAGAGAGATGATCTGCCACTGAGGCGTCATCAAAGGAGACGCGCATGCAGTGCTTTCGACACTGCAGTAGTGTGCGATAGAATTGCTTTCGCCACGGCCTTTTCACATTCGTCAATGAAACAGCCAATAGAAATGGAGAACTCGGTTCTAACCACCCATTGGTTGAGGGGGCCTGGTGCAACTTACTCATCAACTTAAGGACCATACCCCATTCCATGTTCATGAGCACTGACATAATTGGAGGCTACAGTCTGACCTGACACGTACTACCTCTGGTTATGAAGAAATTTGGAATTAATGATTCTCCCCGTTCTTGTTCGTTCACACGATGACCCACAGTGGGTAGGATCTTTCGTTAAGTGACTTAGCGTAAAAGAAACAGCATTGGCGTGTGTGACACTGACTGCAATGTGATCGAGAAAAAGCATTTCTAATTCATGTCATGATGCACCACACTTAGTAACTTAATAAATCCGAAATGTTTTTTGTGAGTAGGAACTTTGTTGACTTTTATTTATGTATACGTCCATAATGCAACTAGCATTTCATTAGTCAGATTGACAGCCTTAATGAACGCAACCAGGCAAAGGATTTGTCATACATTCATTTTCATGCACATTTACAAGTAGATAAGTCAAATTTAGGCATCAACTCACATCCCACCTCTTCATACAGTCAGCCCAAATGATGTCCAAACCATCTTGTTCCACCAGTTTCGGTAAATACGCCTGTAATTCATTAAGATGCTCAATCATGCAATTCTTTCGGGACAGGGACTTCATTTGCAACAGGTACGAGAGCATCGTCAATTCTAAACGAATAAATGAAAGGCAGCAGCAAGTAGTCTATTACTTTAAGTCAAAGTACAAATGGGTACCCAATATCCGAGAAACGATGAGCGGTAAATACCAACTTACCAATCACTGGCAACAGTTCCATGGAACAACACTGCGCATTAGGTCCTCACGGCATGCTCATCCGAGTGTTCACTGGATGATGGCGAGGACTGTTGATTTGCATGCCTAGAGGCTTTACCTGAAGCTGTTCGACGCAAAAATGTGAATTCCCCCACAGAGCACATTCATGCAATTTTATTCTCCAAAAAACAAGGCAGAAAAAATAGGCTTTGAGTGCTCTGCAGTTGGTTCTGGGGCGGAGGACCGGAGTCGAGAGGAGAGCTAAGCGTGACAATGAATGCACAGATTGAAGAGAATTTGTCCAATTGCCACTTGATATATTTTGAATTAAAGTACTGCCTTTGGTGATGCAAAAGGAAGTGGCGTTAAATAAAAAAATGACTACAATGAACGCGTAACTGGGAGCGTAATGGTGGCATTTCTACACGCAAGTCGGCGTACCATAAGTGCAGCCAATCACGGTCCACAGAACTCGGCACACACTTTGTGAGCCAGTCCAACCACAACACCCCAAACCAAGCCACCAACCACTTCTGGTGGTCAGTCCAAGCATCCACTAGTGTGCGACCATGAAGAAAATTTCTTCGCCGAATTCATACTGAACGCTAACACCCACTCTCTTCTACCAACAAATTTCATATCCACCCTGCATTTTGACCTCTCACACAGGCGCTCACCCACTCAGCAACTTCGCAGTTGGACCTGTGAGGGTTGTAACTATTTCGAAGACAGTCAATTGCGCACCTGCGTGTCGGTGACGCTGTCGATGACAGTGACCCTGTTCTCAGCACATGGCCGGGACCTCGACTTCAGTCTCGGTAGTCACCCCTGCGAAGGTGTTAACCCCTGCCACCTCCTGACAGCATGCTGCCGACGTCACCCGAGTTACAATGAAATTGTGCAAGAGCAAAGAGACGTGAGCCTGGTCATTCGGTGCAAAGACTGATGAAAACAACCAAAACCAACCAAAAGTAAGCCTCTCGGGAAGCGGAACACACTGAGCACTGATAGAATGAGAGCTTTGGCCAAGCATCACGATGGGAATGCAGACGTGGATTAAAAGGCAGAATTTAAAAGCATTTGCTTACAGTTCCGTGAGGAACGCAAGAGATGTTAGTTTTCCTTTTCCTCTACGCGGTTCAGATGAATGGCCCGTTGAGATCTGATCGCTTATCTCTGTCTAGGACAAACACAAATAGAAGAAGTCAAAAAGAAGTTGGCATTGGTGAAGTGAGCATATAAATGCACTCCAGCTTCAAATAATCCCATTGTCACCGTCATCTGAAGGATTTGTCAATCAACAGGCCCCGAACAGTCTATCGTCACAGGTCGTGAGGCGGTTAAGGCCAAAGGCAGTCAATAAAAAGGACTGGTCCACAGCAATCTCAAAGAGGACAATAAGCTTGACTGGCTCAACATTTCCTTAGGGACAGGACTGCTTCAATCACTGTCCACAACAGCGAAGGCTGATTCGGTTCTCGCAAGGAGCTACTGACATGGTTGGGTGGGAGAGCATAATATGAGGAAGTAGAAGGAAGGCATCCTCGCTTTCGTGCCGTCCTTTGGCATCACGCGGCTTCACAGCAGCTAACTTTGCAACTGCCACTGGGTGTGAGGTGGTGGCTGTCTAGTCATCGGTTAATAAGTCTTGCGGTGGTTTCCATTCCTTCAAATTCACTTACGACTGAAACAATGCTGGCGCGCAAGATGTCCAAGAGCCAAGTGTAGTTGTCAGGAGTCTTCACGGACTTGTATTCACGGATCTTTGGAGTGTTCAATGGATACTCCAATGGAAGTTGGCGCATTAGACAGTGGTGCGACTTCTTTTTTTAAATCTGTCTCATCGGTCCCTATTTTAAAGAGCCGGTAAAATTTTGTGTGGTGAGGAAGGCCAACAGAATGAAAGGTATGCAAAGCCATCAAAACAGCATGTAAAGCAAAGAAACGTCTGGAAGGTGCTCCCAAACGGAAAAAGGGAAAGAGTACATCGTAATAAATGAAATGCGTGACACAGGGGAGTTAAAAGCCACGTTTTGGCTTCGCATGCCCTTCTTCTTGCTGTTCAAGAAGAGCAGATCATTGCAACTGGCATTAATCATCCAAAGTAGACTGCCCTTAGTCCACCGAAAGGAGTAAATCCTCCGGTAGTAAACTGAAGGGGGACTCCCCTAGCGACAGACAAACTGCATTTTCGATGCTTAAACTGAGTCTTGCCTTTCATTTCGCATAGCAATGTTTGATTAAATTAAGGATAACTTTAAAGTGACAGTTGGCGGTGCGAATGCATGACTAGCTGCAAGTTTTACTGCTAAGCATTTAAAAGGTCTGGAAATGGGCAGGACAGAAGGAGGAGCTGTTTGGAGCAGGTAAAGGCTACCAACATTGGATCCCGTTTCGGCGCTTTCTCGATGATGTTCATGGGCGGTTGTCCTCGCAAGCGGCAAGTTGCGGCTCCGCATGGACGCGAAGTGGGAACAGTGAAGACCAAATCCACCCACAGTCACATTTTTTCAATCTCTAAACTGCGAAATGGTTGTTTTATGGGCCAGTGGAGAAGACCAGCCCAGATGTCGGTTGAGGATAGTACGCCACTCCATTTTGTGAGGTCATAAATGCCACGATGACTGTCGGCTATCTCTGCAATGCTTTGATGACTAGCTCAACTATTTACTTTGGCCACGCCCCTGTTCTTCCATACCTGAGCAGCATGACATGCGAATCGCCCACATACTTGCAGTCCCTCAGTCCCCATCTCGTGCCCATAATTCACATTCAAAATCAGCAATAGCCACTCTTTCGGTTCCCGGGAAGCTTCGACTCTCCACATTCTAATCGTCACACCGAGGCGAAGATGTTCATGCGATTTCTGCAACTTTTATTGAGTCAAAAGGCTACACAATAAGGGGTCCTCAAGAGAACTTTGAATCTACACGTTTTGCAGTCGACTTCTGGAATTGGCAACAATGTATCACCTCATCCCTATCCTTCTGTCTCAGCGAAACTTTGATGCAAGCACAGTCTTGCCACTCTACTGCACCCTTTACACAGTAATTTAACCAACGAGTACGCCTGGTCGTGCCATTAGAGATAAATCTGGTGACACTGAGTGCCGTAATTAAAAGTAGCTCGGCAGTACAGATGAGGCCATCTTTAAGCTTCAAGAGTGCACCACACCATCCACTTGCTGCCTTTTGAATGATCCCCACTGTGCTTCCCAAACTATGCTGCTTTGAGGGAGCCAGTGACCAACTTCAATATGTTCTCACGTCTTCTGCTTGAAGACGTTGTTGGCCAAAGCTGGGTAGGAACTGGACGAACTGAGTGGCCGAAGACGATTGCGAACAAGGCGAGTGGAGCCCTAAAAGGTAAAACTGGTCTTCATGCAGCAGCAACCGGCGCAACAGTTTCCAAATCCGCACTCGCACCCATCAACTCGCGTTTGTTCATGTCACCTACGTTGTTGCCTTTCTCCCCGTCTATCGTGTCATGACGGACACAACTCAGAAGGTCAATCGAATGCTGCCTCTAATAATATCCCTCATTTCAGACCGTGATGGCGGTGGTGGTCGTCTTTCGACTTCTGTGGGATCGTTAGTTTGAAAAGCGACAGCATTCAACTGCGCTGAGACTGACACAACTGTAGTTTGTGACGTGATGAACTTCAGCACCCAGAGTAGACGGAATGCGATGAAAGCGTGATTGTGTTTTAGAAATTGGCACTTTTGTTGATTTCTACTGGTCTCCTCCTTCGTGGGTGCCAACCTCGACGTCTCACAATGAAGTTCTTACCAGAGGCTTTTGTGATTGCGTTAAATGCAAAAGAAAGGTGAGGGCTAATGCGACCAGGCCAGGAAAGGAGACGGAATTGCCGTGTTTGCTCTACAGTTTCTTGACAGCAAAGTATACTTTTGAGTGAAGGTTTTCACCTCCATTCATCACAATACGAAATGGATACACTCACAAATTCTCATGGGCTGCCATGACAACGGCGAAATAGTAGCATTTTTTCCGGGAAAAAACATGTGGGAGTGTTGAAATGAAGCAAAATAAGTGAGCCAAATCTCCGGCAATGGTGTCTAAAATCACATCTTCCACCTCAATGTGTGGCATGAT